GGGCACGCACGCCCTCAGCCCTCTCCTAAGCCAGGCTGTTACGGTGTTTTGGCAGTTGCAAAAATGCAGACGGCGTGGAGTTCTACAACGAGATCAACCTATATGCCAGGGTGAACTCCAAGGTGAGGCTTCCGCTCAGCAAACTGTTCTCCGACAGCCTGCATCAGGCTCAGAGTTAAACCCAGCCTGTGCAGTCTTGAGCAATGCTGCTTAGCATTGAATCCTGTCCGTTTCCCAAAAGCCTGAGTGGGGTAAGCACAAGCCTGGGACTCCTGACCTTGGGCCTGGCACTTGCAGTGCTGCCTTAGGCCAGAAATAACCTGTATCCATGGTTCTGTGTCCCCCACAGCCTGGATGTGGCTGAGCTTTAATCCTGTGCATGTCTGCAGTGGATTACAGAGAGGAGTCTGGTAGACACTGAGATGAGGCACCCCTGATCTCTTGGCAGGACTCACAGGAGAAGCGCTCTGACCGCTCCATTACATGCTTTATGAGGAAGTGGAAGGAGAAAGTGGCCTGGCCCCGCATCACCAAGGAGAACATCAAGGTGTGTGTGACGCCTGGCAGCCAGGACCAGCCTCAGCGCATGTGCTGTCCCCACGCAGCACCTCAGGGCTCCTGGGGACCAACTTGCCTCTGGGACAGACACTGAGGGCCCCACATGGGGACCCCAACACAGAGGTCCCAAAGAGCCCAACCTCACGGTCACTGCCGGTCCACGGACCTCTGCCCTCCAGGAAGGATGTGGCACCCCCTTCCCTCGACACAGGCAGCGTCAGGACCAGCATCCGCAGGCAAAGGGACACACTCCTGTTTTTTTCCCCAGCCCAGCCAATCCCCTTGCCTGAGCAGTCTGTGCTCACCCCACAGAGCAATCCCTGGACTGCGAGGACGGGGCTCCCTAGGTCCCCTCTGTGCTGCTCCCTCCCTCAGGGAATGCTCTCTCTGCCCACAGCCGGCCTGGCTCTCTGTGGACTTTGACAACTGGCGAGACTGGGAAGGGGACGAGGAGGTGGAGAGGGCCATGGTGGAGCAGTATGCAGAGGTGAGCTGGGCTGCAGGCCTTGGGGTCCTAGGGTGTGTGTGGGGTGGGTGCTCAGGATGGGGGGCAGCTGGGCATTTGGAGTTTCCCACAGCCGTTTGTTTTCTGTCCAGCTGCTGGAGAAGG